AAATAACAGTAAAATATTTTCCCCACTGTTGAGACAATTATAGAATCCAAGTGTAGAAATACAGCCGTGACTTTAGTTGTTCATTATTGTTCATAGTTGTTATAATAACTAGTAGGGCTGGTCCAAATAGCACTTCCTGCTCTCTGGATATTCAGGCCCAATTAATGATGAATATCAGAACATTCTGTGCGGTCAGGGGACACTTCCACCCCGGGGCAGCGCTCCGACGGGGTGGAAGTGTCCAGAACACACAGGCAGTACTGGGCTGCTGATGCTAGTTTAGTTAGCGCTCACACTTCTGTTTCCACCATCGGTGGCGGTGGGGGAGTGTCAGATACGCTCCACCGTTACCATCCATGTTTACTTCCGTAAACACTGAGCACGCTCGCTGCGTGTGACGTCGTCGTGTCCTCTTCTGCGTGTTTTATATTTAAAACTAAATGACAAATTTGATCTTTTCTTCTTCTGCTGAACGTAAAAAGTGTAGAACCATAAATGTTGAGTTTTTTTTTAAACAGTAAGAACTTTATTAATTTGACAGAAATGTTTGAATATTTGACTTCAGTAATCAGAAGATGTTGTTTTTCTGACGTATTTAACTTGTATGTCTCACTAGTTCAACTTTGAACTTAGTTTTTCCAGTTTTTACTTACAAGAAAATGTTGAAATATGACTCCGTGTCTCATCGTTTCGACTCGTTATTCATCACTGATTACATTCTCGGTTGATTTGTGCGTTTGTAAAACATCACCACTAAGATATAAATTCGTCAGATGCGGGTTTTTTTCCCTCAAAGCCAGAAGAGATTCGGTTACAGTTTGATACGAAGCAGAGAATCATCACAGCTCAGCGGCTGCGACCTGAAAACGTTTGACGTGTTGATTATTGTTCCTGCCTCAGACTAAATCAGTTTAGCTGCAGGATGAAGACCTGACGGATGTTTGGAGCTGAAACGAGCCGATCGATTTCCCGCTCCAATGCGAGCCTGTCTCCCGTTAGCGTCGGATTACTGATGTTTGTTGCCGTAATGTTTGACAGCAGCTGCGTTTACCGTGTGACCCGAAACACGAAACCTGCAGCCTCCAAGCTAAACGTCATTCTGTTGGATAAATATTCATCATTTCTGCTGCGTTTCCGCTCCGGGCTGATGCAACGCTGCAACGCCGGCTTCGTGGCCGAACGCGACGGCGGGACGCAGGTTTTGTTTATTCAAAGCTTTACGTCAGCGTATCTGCGCCAACAAGCAGGAAGCGAAGCCGAGTCTCCGGAGATCGCTCGCTGACTTCACGCACTTAAATCTGGGCTCGACTCGCCGGGAGCCTTCACAAAGACTTTGTCGCGCCGTAATGCAGATTGCAGCCGACCCGCCTCTCGGGGCTCGGCGAGGCGGAGACGTGCCGTAACGAGGCGCGCTCGCATTTAGAAATGTTGACTCTTAAAGAGCTGTGACACAGAATGTAAATGTAGCGCGGCGGGATGTTTTACAGCCACTTAGCGGAAGAAAAACAAGCTTCAAAACACATTAAGATGCAGCCGGAGGAACGTTCACGCACCGGGTCTGTGTTCCCTGAATACGTCTGTTCTGTTGACACGAGGAGACGCAGCGTTCTGACGTTTAGATGTTGAACCAGAAAAAGACGTTTAACCTTTTCTTTCTCACCGTCTGACATTAAATCAGACG